AACTAAATGCATAACAAAAAAAAAAAGTCATTCTCTCTGAATGAGGCGGCTTGAGTCATAGCCAACACTAAATCTTTCAAATCTAACAATTTCTTCTGAGGCCTAATGATAAGATACCTCAACAACTTACATGGTTCTTGCCTTATCTTTATTAGGGCATGTGAATTTTTTCAAAAGTTGTAAGCAATGGTTAGTTGGGTGATAAATATTATCTCAAGCTCTAGCAAGCAAAGTAATCACCTTAAGTGACAAGCAAGAAAATTGCTTAAGAATAAACTTCTTAAAAATTATTTAAAAAAATGTTCTATTTTATAAAATATCATTAATATAAGTAAAATGAAACATAGTTTCAAAATAAGCAAAATCATATGCGTGTCAAATTTTTTTCTGTAAGAATCAAGATTTGAATCCTTGAATTTTGCAAGAGACGTTACAATCTCTACAATGTTCTTAGAAAAGTCACTTGTTAGCTCATCTCTCTACTCAGAGTTGTGAAATATTTGAATTTTCTTCATTATGTGGTGAATTTCATCATTTTCTGAGATGGAAGGTAGTGCTTGTGCATTCGAATTCCTCATTCTCATAACATAACATATAATTTTTTTGCCAAAAGCCATCTAATAATATCTCTTGGAATATGCTCTAGAATTTCCTTGGATCATATTTTTCTTGTTTTTCATCTTTGTTTCTAGTTGAGTTGTAGTAAAATCTTGATTCTTTTTATTGGCTAAGGTCTCTCTAGTTTGTTTCTCTATACTTTTTTGTTCTTTATTATTCTTAATATTGATTGAAATTTAACATACTTTTGAGAACATTAATGTCATGACCCAAGTCTGGGCTTGAAATTTTTCAAATTAGGAGTAGATAAACGAACGTTGATCATTAAAATTTTATATAACTAGCAGTTTATAATTCAAATAAAATGAAAGAACCACTAGAAAAATAAATTATAACAATACAACTAAATTTATCTTAGCTCAGGTTATCCACATCTTCTATGGATATTGTTTTATCTAATTATTCATATTCTAATCAAAATATTAAGCCTAAAAGATTAATTTAAAATAAAATGAGCTACAACAATCAACGAATAATCATAGTTCTAAACTACAGTAACATAATGAAATAAATAATATACATGTTTGATAAAATTTCAATAATTCAGTATAAGAGCATTTGACAATTTATATTTACGAATATGATCGATCATGTTATTTTAAAACTTTTTATTATTTCATATTATATTATTTTCACAATTATATCATTTTATATATAATCATCACATGAGTACCATCTAAATTTATATCAATTAAGGTACATCAATAATATTTTTTTTTCAATTTAATGCATAAGTTTCTTATAACTTTTTTGCTAGTACCATAAATGGGCGAACTCTTTCATAGTAAACATGCATGAATATCTCAATAATACACAATAACACTTGAATAACATAGGAGGAATATTTTCTTCTATTACCTGACATTTTTTTTTTCTGTCAACGTCACTTGGTGTGATTTTATTGGACTCCGCACCCAACTCTACGTGCGGAGTCCTGATGCAATATTTTCTCGCACAACACACATGGTACGGACGCGGCCGCGAAGGCAACTAACGGGCCTGCACTTAATCGGTTCGGGCTAGGTCCGAATCCGGATCGACCCGGCTTGATGATTCCCGGCAC